TTAAAAGCAAAATAAACATTACAGCAGGTGGAAGTTGCGGTAGAGCGAACACACCTGGCAACCGTGTGCTAAACTTGGTGTCTGATATTAAAGGCTGCACTGATGAACATACTGATGTTCGAATGCATCCCTCTGTACTGGCTTCATTATAGTGATGCGCTTGAAGCTGCTCAGACAGCTGTGGCTCTCCTGTTGATTCTCTCCTGAATAAAATGTGGCTCCTTTTAACCCTTGTGTGGTGTTCAGGTCTGTGGGACCCATTTTCTATGTTTACCAAAAGAAAAAATGATGTGATTTTTTATTATTTCAACCTCAGATTCTTGTCCTTTGATCATTTTCTTTGAAGAACATATAAAATAACCCTTTTTCGGTGTCTTCACTCTGTTCACCCCCCACACATTCATATTACACATATGGTGTTGGGCTGAACCCGCGGGGAGTAAAAGTGTGGAGGTGCTGTGTCCTTCACTCCGTTCTCCTCCTACATGGCCTGCTGTTAGTGTGTGTGTTTGTATATGTGTGTGTGTGGGTGTGTGTGTGAGGGTGGACAACATGGACAGCCTGCTGACTGGCTACAGCTGCTAAAGGAGAACCCTATGCTGGACGCTTGTGATATTTTAAACATCTGGTATTTTTACATAAATTATTATGGCTTTATTGATTTAAAAAACAATAATGTGGTGGGTCCAGCAGACCACTGAAGAACAAACACATCAACACCACACAAGGGTTAAATATGTTTTCATGGCGAATGGAAACGCTTTACAGATCATTTTCTGTGTGTTTGTGTGTGCAAATGCGCGTAAAAAGGAATAAACTGTTTAAAGTGTACTTTTTCTCTAGAGGTAATGAGGCTGACTGCTGCTCCTGCTGCACTTTGAAACATCTCTGCCCTCCTCACATTCACACTCAGTCCAGCTTGGATGAAACTCATATTTTAGGTTATGAATCTGTAGTATCATCTCTTTCTCTTTTGCTGATGCAAATTTTAGAACAAAAAAAGTGAAAAAAGGTAAATGGGATTATTATTTTTTAGTGAGTCAGGTTGTTGATGTTGTCCAGTCTGCTTGGACAGAAAGCTGTGGAGGTCTATACTCACCAGGTAGAGGAGAAAAAAAAAAATCACCTGTTTTTTTTTTCTTCTTTTCAGAATGTAAAAAAATTCGACTTTGAAAATAATGACATTTTCTCAAGAATTTGACTTAGTATCTGAAATATTTACTTAATTTCTCTAAACTTTACTTTGTATCTTGAAACAACTACTTATTTTCTAAAATGGACAAAATGATGACCTATTTCCTCAGATTTTTGACTCAAAATAATAAATTATTTCCTCAAGAATTGACATAGTATCTCAAAATAATGACTGGCATTTCAAAAATGTTGACTTTTAGAATCTTGAAATCTCACTTATTACCACGTTTTTTTCTTAAAATAATGAGTTTCCTGCATTTCAGGAAAATAAATCATTCTTAGATTGCATTATTGGCGACAGTTTGAAAAGATGCGGTGGCGCTTCACAGGTCTCGGGGAAAGCCTGTGCTAGTCTTCACCCTCCTAGTGCTGGTGGTATCATGTGTCTGGGGGAGACCTAACTAGTGTGTGGAATTAGATACATTTAAATTGGGGAAAAAATACAAAAATAATTAAAAAAAAAGATATGGGTTTAATATTTTGAGAAATTACATAAATATTTGGAGACACTAAGAAAGTCCAAAAGTTTCAAGTCAAAGTTATTTATATAGCGCTTTTTATAACACAAAGCAGCTTTACAGAAAATCCGGGTCCAAGCACCGATGAGTGTTGCCAGTGGTGACAGTGGCAAGAAAAACTCCCTAAGAGCAGGAGGAACAAAGACCAGATAGCAAAAACAATAAAACACGAGCAAAATGAACAAAGGATAAGATTTTACAAATCATATACAATATTGAATATAGAGAAAAAGGGAAACCAGCCTGTGATTGGACAGAACTATTTACATTAACCAATGATAACTGAGGATTATAGGCCTGTCAGTGTAACACTGAGAAACAGATCTACGAAAGCCAGTCAGTGAGTGTGCACTTAATAACCCAACAACTGCAGAAAATCTGATTTTGTCAGTAATCCGATTGATGCGTTTACATGCACTTGAGTAATCAGATAATGCGGGAAACTCCAGGTCTACATGAGTCAGACAGTAATCAGATTTCTGCTTTACAACCAGCCAATAAACTCACAGAAGAAGAACTTGAACTTCATGCCGCAGCTTTTTTTGAACATCGCCACTTTACCTGAAAATATGAACATACATCATCTAGAAGATGAAGAATATTTAAATCTTTCATTTCATCAGACATGTATTTGTTTTAGCATCGCCCCAAAAGTGTTTTGCTGCGTCTCGCAGTGACGCTGCTTGCTGTTTCCAGTGCCACAGTCTGTTTTTGCACATGCTCCGAAAATCCGAAAGAAATCAGAGTAAGAGTTTACATGCACTGAGAAATCTGATTACTGAGCTAAACTCCAGCTCTCAGATTTTTAATTGGATTTCTAGACCTTAGTCTGATCTAAGAAATCAGTATGCTGTTTATATGACCATTTGAATCGGATAACTGCAGAAATCCGATTACTCACATGCACTCAGTGTTACCAGTGAAAACCAGTGACTGCTGTTAGGAGGGAATCACAGTGAGAATGAGAGCTTAATCCATGAACACCAATGACCACTGTAATTATGTAATTAAATAAGTCATTATTTCAGGATACTAATTTTTTGATATACTGCCACCAGACAGAGGAGCAAAGAAATAATTGTGTTTGTGCTTAGAGAACAGACTGCCCCCTGCTGCATGGGCAATGCTACTGCAAACAAAAGCTAGCAACCTCACTTTCTAACAACATAAAGCTGATCTAGAACCAGTTAACTTCACTTTTACTGGCAGATCTTCCCAATGTACCCATTTTTGGACGTGCCTCCATCGTGTAAGACATCATGGCTGGTATCTGATCCTGCTTGACTTGGAATCCTCACAAGAGAGAAAGCAAAAGTTTTGAACCCATCCTCCGTCACAACTAAATAAAACCACCCATGAGTCCAAGCATGACACGCTTCCCTCACTCAGCCATTATTCACTTTCTGCAGGCAAATAATTGCCCCGTCTTCATCAATCATTTTCAGCGCTCCTCTGTTTGGCACAGTCCCGCTGCCTGAGCGGTGCCGAGGGAGGCGACGGTGGCCTTGTTTTAAACTCCGATATAAATCAGAAGGCTCAGGCGGCGCGAGGTTATTCAGTCACACGCTGCAATGAGTCAATAAACATCTGCAGTGCTGAGGGCCCTTATCAGCCAGGCTGCATCTCTGTGGTTTGGGAGAAACCCCCTTGGAGGCCCGAGACCCCACTGTTCTTCCTCTACACAGGCTAATCTAACCAAGGCAAGAATGCTTTTGACAGGGTTTACCTAAAGGCTGTTTATCCAGCGGACAACGGCTGTCTTTAACACTGTAGCTTTGTCCGCAGGCATGTCGACACTGGCCGCACGCAGTGATTACATTGGCCTCTCTCCGGGCAACGACGATAAGCATGATTTCCGAAGGCATTGTGCCCGTGATTTATGAGACACCTTTGGTTGTAAATGCGGATGCATGTGTACGTGTTGCCCGCATGTCGCCCTCCAAGTTTACAGCGCCTGTCAAAGAGTCTGGGGACACCCTGCGTCCTTTAGGAATGCTTGATTTTACATTCAATAACTTTTGCTTGCTTTCAGTTACTTTCACTTGCCAACATGTAGCAGCTATGTATGTATGGCATGAAGAGCAGGTTTGGCCTTAATAATGATTGACACTTTGCCCCCCCAACTATTGGTAAAAGCATTCATGAGGCTACAGGACACCTACATGGACCTTTCTACTGAATCAGTACTGTAGTTTTACAGTAAAGAAACTAAATATATACAAGCTAAATATATACAAATCCATCATTTATAGGGTGCTTTCTGTTACGAGGTGTCTGTCCCAAACCCTAACCCCTAAATTTACACTTGTGAAAAAACAAAAAATTATATATATATATATGCATTTTTTCAATGTTGTTTCTTTTGATTTCTTGTAAAGTGAAATTTCTTGTAAACTTGAAAGATTCAGTTTTATCAAGGGTTTAGAGTCTGTGGGCGGAGCCTTATTTTAGCCACGCCCCTGCATTTAAGAGCAGGAAGTGAGACTGCATCCCTGTCCCTCATGGTCACATGCTGAGCAGTTAGATCTGATTGTTTTGAAGTAAATGTGTCCCAAAGTCTGAAAATCAGCATGGAACGTTAAAAATTGTCACTACAGAAACACAAATTTACTACAAAAGTACTTTGTGTTTTCAGTGAAAAATATTATGAATTAAGTGTATTCAAAGCTACAATTGTCACTACTGAAACACTTGGTAAAAATTTGGTAGTGTTATGACTGGAATGTTCCATCATTTGTTTTAATAATATAAACATAATTAAGGTGTAGGGTCTCTCAAAGCAAAAGGATTGTAGTCTAAAGTCCAAGTGAGTTTAAAGTCCGAGATGTTTTTTTCAACTCTGACTTTGAACCAGTTCAGTAGAATGATCCATATAAGCCTTTCACAACAATTGGCATAAATATACATTAACATTTACAAAGGCTTATTCCAATAAGCAACAGGCTGCTTTTTCAATTTGTCATTTCACCTCAGAAAGCGTTATGACTGATTCCTCGGGTGTCATGAGAGGCTTACGTAGGTGTTGTGTAGCCTTATGAACGCTGCCCTTCAGTAAAGCGCAGGGTGCCGGTGGTGGCTACATTCCCAAAGAAGAGCTTTGGTCAGTTTTGCAGATTTTATAAAGAAAAACAGCCCAGCTTTCTGTTTACTAAGGCACATTATTGCAAACCAGCAATAAATATGCTTATCTATCAAATCATATTGAAAGGCTAGGTGTCCTCAGCCAGCAGGCAGCGTACGTCATTATGCTCTTGGAAGAGTGACATCTGTGGTGTTCTCTCCGAACAGGTGAAAGATGGTGGAGGAAAGTTCGGGGCAGACAAAAGATGTCCACCATGCTGTCCAAAACCAGTGATGCCCCCTTTCACAGAAGAAACTGGAAGGTATTTACAGACAAATACTGTCACTTCCCAGATTACACCAGTACAAACGTTTCTTACAAGTTGCCAACAGCAGCCGCACCAAAATCTAGATTTGATTCAAGGAAGCGAGTTAACAAAACTGTATTATTTGTCTCATCCTTGCAACAAAGAGCTAAAGATATATGCTGTCAGCGAATGTTAGATAAAAATTTGGGATCATTTTATGATTTTATGATTGCAAATGAATTCAGTAAACTGCAAGCTAAGGCAAGCGCTAGCTAATATTAACCAAAGTCAGCTTGGCGTATACTGAAAGCAATGTGGTTAGCTAGCTACATGTAGCACAAACTACAAGGGGGGACAATCTGTCCCCACTCTAGTGTTCACGCTCATTCCATTTTTAAACTTACCACGTCCCGTTTCCATCAGCAAGTGACCACTCGTGTTAGGCATGCATGATTAAAGGCTTTGTAGGAAAGTTTGCACACTCAGCGTCCATCTTGGCAACATCCCCGCACAGTTATTTCCTCAAAAACAGTATAAAGAGTTTGTAGCTTTTAACTCACAAAAAATTGTCTTTCGGGTTGATCTGGCTTCTATGCACCCCCATAACAAGTTACCAACAAGGCGACTGTTGTTGAAGTGTGTAACTTTCCACAATACAGTCCCTATGTTGAGCATTGCGAGCTACTCCATTCATTTTTCAACCAGTGAATTGACTCTGAATCCTTTATAATGTTCCTGGTAAGATGCAGATGCAAAGTTTAGAAGGGTGGACGAGAAGTCAACAAGAAAAAGAAATTGCATGCACTGCAGATGAAACACTTACTGAACTCTTTGTTGTTTCTACAGATGGTTTTGTGGGTGCTTGTATCTCTGCTGCCCCTAGTGGTTGGAGAGAGGCCTGGGTTTAGAGAAGGTCCTGAGGGCGCAGTGGGTTTAGTCAGTGCCACGCTAGACGAGCAGCCTTTAGATACCTTACCCCAAGAAGAAGAAGAAATGGGAGACGGGGACAGCCACTCTCCATGGCAGAGCCTATTTGGTGAGTTTACTTACCGAGAATGATCTAGGCTGTTCAGTTAGTCAATTTCTATTAGCCATTGTTGTTCTGCCTTCTCCTGTTAAAGATCACAATGTATGGTCAGGCTATCTACTCCCTGTGGTGGTGTTTGACATTTTGTGAACCCTTTATAATTTTCTATATTTCTGCATAAATTTGACCTAAAACTTCATCAGACTTTCATTTCCATTTGTACACAATCTGTCTGACTGTGGATTGCTGGAGTCCAAGCTCTGCTTCTGAGGTCCTCAGGAGTCTCCTTTGTTCATGCCATGATACACTTTCACAAACGTGTGTTGTGAAGATCAGACTGCGATAGATCCTTGTTCTTTAAACAAAACAGGGTGGTCACTCACACCTGATTGCCATCCCATTGATAGAAAACACCTTACGCCTTCAAAGTATCTGCTAATCCTAAAGGTTCATATATACGTTTGCCGCTCACAGATCTGTAATACTGGATCATTTTCCTCAATAAATAAATAATCAAGTCTAAAGTTTTTGTCTTATTTGTTTAATCTGGTTCTCTTTATCTACTTTTAGGACTTGACGTTTTAGGTCAAATTTATGCAGAAATATAGAAAATACACAAACTTCCAAGCACCACTGGACCTCAAGACACTCATCATTGAAAAGCAAGCTAGAACTATTGTCCAACCTAGAACAGCAGATACTTTCATGAAGTGATGTACAATTTAATTGCTGAAAACTTGATGTGAGCCCGTGTCATTTTGCATACACAAAGTGACGGTGAAAATAGGAATAGAAATGGTTATTTTACCAGTAGAATGGAATAAGACTGCCATTCCCTCTTCTAACAGTGTGAATTCAGTGATTAGCATTCTCATCTAAAAGTGTTGAAGCATCTACTTTGGTCAGCATACTGAAAAGACATTTTGACAAGCTTCATAAGCAGCACTCGTGCACTGAAAGTGGTTATATAGTTGTAGAGAGGTCCTGAAGAATCTCGTTTAGGATGCTGATGAAGACAGAATTCTATGGCAAGCTAGTTTGGCCTGAAGTAATATCCTCTCATTCTCTTTGTTGCTTTCAGAGCCATCTGTTTTCGTAGAGGAGGAGCGTCCAGCTCGGTGGGAGCGCTCACCCCGTTCCTCAGAGGCTTCAGATGCTCAGTCAAAGGGATCACGCAAGAAAAAGAAGAAGAAGAAGAAAGAGAAAGGTGACAGAAAGCAAGGCCACAGCCCACGGGACTGCCGGCTGGAGAGGCGAGAGATGCGGGTGAGAGACCTGGGCATGGGCCACGACTCGGATGAGATCATCCTCTTCAAGTTCTGTGTGGGCTCATGTCAGAGCTCCCGGGGGAACTACGATCTGGCGTTGAGGGCACTGCTGACCAACGGCAGCCTGCCCAAGCGAACTGCTCGAAAAATCAGTGCCCAGCCATGCTGCCGGCCAACAGGCTACGAGTCTGTCTCCTTCATGGATGCCTCCACCACCTGGAGGACCATTGACAAAGTCTCGGCCTCTGACTGTGAATGCGTAGGCTGAGAGAAGCAGGAAAGGAATCAATCTCCTCTCAAGGCTCTGAAACAGAGGCACTGAGAAAATGAGGCAGCATAGAGCCCAAGGTTGCAGCTTCAGGGAGAGCGGAGACATACAGAGTGAAGGCTAAACAGTGAGATACCTGTGGAAGGATACACCAGGGACTTGATTACGAACATACCTAAGCACTTATGGTAAATTCCTGCTCGCTGGCGCGTTGAACCTGACCCTTGTAACCCAATAATGCTATACGGAGTGGACTTTGCAGTGGTTGGATAGCATGGTGGATAATACCTGCCACACGTAATGATGAGAGGATCTTTTCCTATACATGCAGTAACAACAAGTGTGCTTGGATTGGACTCCTCATGCCACATTTCTCTACCATTGTGACTTGCTTTGGGTAAAAGTGATATATACGTACATTTATGTTTGTGGCGATATAGCTATGGAATGATACCGGTGAGAGCTACAGAGGGATACCGAGTGGCCTCCAGGACATGCACCATATATTCTATATTTCCAAAGGACGGAGCTAGAAAGTGTTGGCTGAGCTCTGCTGGAAGAAATCAAAACCTCTTTGAGGCCAAGAAACAGAAGCACCTGGAAAGAGAGGCAACATGAAACCAGAGGCACCCCAGGTTGCAACTTCAGGGATCGGGGACATGCAGGGTTAAGACCCCACAGAGCTGTTCCCCGTGAGAAAGTTTGGGAGGGATACAGCAGGACATGGTATCTGGGACATGTACTGTATATATTATAGTAGTGTTTCTCAACCCAATCCTTCTACCAGATGGTCCACATTGCTCTATCCCAACTCCGAACACACTAGAACCAAGCCTTAAAATCAAAGGTCTGGCAAAAATCAAATTCACCCAATTTCCTCATTAACAAAAATACAGTCAGTCAGCTAAGACATAGTGCTTCTGAAGTGTGGGACTTTGTTTTGGCACATGTTAGCATGACTATGTCATAAGTCGGCTTAAAAAGATTTCTGACAACCACTATGTGGTTTCCAACACTGTGGGACCTACTCTTATCTACGGATAAAGGACTTTGCATAGCTAAGCATAGATGGATGGCTGCTATTACTGTTTTTAAGCTATGCAATATTAGCTATACTGCTATATCTGTGCATTTGTTGATTTTTGTAGATAACAGGGTGTCATAAGTCTCAGAAACCACATAATCAAGTCTGAGTTAGGTTACTTAACAACTTGATGCAGTTTGAGGCATGTGTGATGATTTAGCCATGCAGGTTGGTCAATGCCAATGAGTGTCAATGAGCTTGTTAGCTACATTACCCCTGTAACTAAAGTGCAGAATTTTACAAAGCAAACTTTTCACACTAAAGATGTCTTGGCTGATTATCAGTATCTGAGACAAGGTTGATTTTTGGCTGGCTGGCAATGTCATCGCTAGAACACCATTAAATTTCTGGTACAGGTGTACTGGGAGCTAGGCTAGAGCAAAAACGTAGAGGACTGGATCGAGAAACACTGTTTTATGTTATCAAATCCCTTCAAAATGCTGGTGCCAGACTAGATCAAGGCTGCAAAACATGGAGAGTCTTTTTGGAATCTCTTTGGTGGAGAAACGCTGGAGACTAAACGACTGCGGCTTTACTCGAACAAGATGTTTTTCTTTCATAAGACTAATATTACACGAAACCTTCCTGTTTCATTTCATCTGTCCGTTTGTTACTGGAGGATGTCAGCGCTCAGCCTCTGTATCAGCCAGTACTGGCAGCGTGTGCAAAACCTCAAGTCACTGTAACTCATTTCATTGCAGCATAGAAACAGTGGTTTGAATGAAACCATTTCAGGCTGGGCAGAATCAACAACAGCTAAGTACCAGCCAACAACAGCTGGTACTTAATGCTAATCTTTGCCTTCACTCTTCATATTCAGGTTACACAAACTAGATTACAAAAAACAATTGGCTGGCTTGACATGGTGAAACTTTCATGCAACTAGTTTCGATGCAACTTAATGCAAATGCAGTCAAAATCATATGGAATACATTTCATTACTCCACTCATTAGCCATCAGGACGAGCTCGTTTTCAACCATCCAATAAACCAACTTTTATTTCATTTTGTTGTCTATTGATCCAGTGAAATCAATCATTTAAAACAGTGTTGTTTGACAAGATTACATGAGGTGTTATGAGTGGCTGTTTCATGTAACCTGTTCCACTATCCACCTGTTTTAATTCTGGTTTTAACACGCCCTCATTTACTTGCATTATCTTTTTTAGCTCAAGTAAAATTTGTTAGACAAACCCTTAGAGGGGCGAGTGAAAACAAGTGTCGACTTATCAGCAGAACTTACCCAGATAGCATTGCAGTCTGATGCAATTCCCTTTCCAAACCTGAAAATAATGATGGAAAAAACTGTTTTTAAGCCGTTTTTAAAATGCTTAATATTTCAAAACTATAACATTCAGATTGCTGGGCTTTAAGTTGCAAAGTACTCTGTATGTTATGCATGACTGCTCATGCAATGTCATCACGCTCTGCCAGCTTGCTAGTTAGCAGCTTACAGCTATGCAGCGAACAACAACAGAAAGGCACTACTCCAAGTTTATTGCCAGACAAAGCAGTTATGCTCAGATTTCTGCATGGCTAGCTGATTAGCTCACTGAAGCTAACCTAGATGAGGGTGAGTGCATTCCAGTTGAATAATCTAAAGTTGAGACGGTTGCAACTGTTGCGGCAGAATTTCCAACAAGTTGCATGAAACTTTACAATACGTGACTCAAGTGAAATTGAGTTGCATGAAAGTTTTACTGTGTAAAACCAGCTTTAAACTTGTACAATACTGAGAAGTTCAATTCATGTTCACCCTTACAGACAATGCTTTACTGAAGAACGCTATGGCCTGAGGAAGCCCATGAAGGGTTAACATGACTGCTGGCCCAACACCAAAGTGTCGTCTGATGTGGTCAGCATGGACCAGCGTGGTCAGGGTGTTTTTCATCGATGTAGCTGCAGACCACAATGCATTTTGTCATTGTTTACCTTAGTGCTACAAAACTGGATGCTGTGCATCTCTTAGCATTTACTGTATGCATAATAGGTCAAATATTTATTTTTTCAACTAAGTTATTTATTTATTCTTGTGTATAAAGATGTCTTTTAAACTTTTTATATTTATTAATGTGTACAGTATGTTCAATGTGCTTTATTATCACCTCATTCTATCTACGAACAACAAGGCCTTGATGTCAGTTTCAAACCTCCAAAATGCAAAACCTCAAACCTCTTATGCAAAAGTTTGGGCGCCCCCGGTCAAATCACGTGTTTTGTTGATTTTCTAATTGCAAATAAGGGAACGCATCTTCTTACAGGGAACACACTGAAATATGGTGTTTTAAGAACAGAATTTCTAATTATTTGATGAACTTTGGCAGTAAGTTTTGCAATATGTTCAATTTTGCAAATGAATAGGAACTTTAAATGTGCATTGTTTTCACTTTAATCAATGTGCACTTTGACCAGCGCTGCCCAATGCATAAGACTGTATTTACAAGATGTAATGATTATGTTTGTGGAGGGGCTGCAACACACTGAGTGATTCAAAAATGCAGAATTAATTTCTTTTCTGACCGTGTCAATCAGTTTGCATATCAACTGACCAAACTGACCATGAGAGCCTCGTTGTTCTGAATTCTCCACTTAAGAAAAGCTGCTCTTGAGGAAATACTCAAAACTCAAATGTACAACAGTAGTTCTAGAAGACATTTAATAGTTTTCCACAGTATTTGCATCAAATTATTGTTATTATTATTATTATTATTATTATTATTATTATCCTTTATTTTTGTACAACCATGTTTCTTGTATAGAAATAAAGCTGTTTTTATGAAAAATAAGTGATGTTTCTCTTCCTTCCTCTTCACTTCAAAAAAATCAAAGATCAATGTATGTTTAATAGAGATTATGTTTGTTATTAGCCCATATCAGTCTGTCTAGGTAAACATGTTCTTTATTGTGTACCTAATTTGGTAAGACAAAAACAAACACTTGTGCAAAAATGTGTGAAAACAGGGCTATTAACATACATATATAATATATATAACATTTAGGGGTAGTCTCTTTTTGCATGCCCCCTAGTGGTCATTAGCGGTTTTCTGAGGGCTTCCTTTAGAGCAGTGGTCAACAGGAGATCTACTTTCCTGCAGAGTTTACTTCCCACCTGGATCTAACATGTTGCTCCTCCCCTCACCTAACGCAATTGCATCTGATCCAGCCAATCAAGGTCTTCTGAAGGAGTTAATTAGCAGGAGCAGGTATGGCAGATTGCAGTCAGATCTAGACTCTTCAGGAAGGATCCCAGGATCTCCAGGACCAGGGTTGGTGACCACTGCTCTAGAGGCATGAAGTTAAAGCCAGAGCCATCCTATACCCACAAACTTGAGGGGTGGCTTATCAGGCCTGAGCAGTAACGCTAAATTTGAGACTTGAACCCACACCGATGCACAAGGCTGAAGTTGACATGAATGCAAGGGCGTTACAAGGCGTTCCCTGCAAAATCCAATTTATAATCCTGCTAAGTTGATATTTATGTAAATAATGCTTATAGTTTTTGAACAATCATTGAGTCAATGTAGTATGCATCATCTTACTAATATTCTTCAAAACTTTAATAAGGTTAAACTCGGCCAGATTAGAATTTAGATCATTGATTACCACTTCAGTTCGACATCAGTTATTTCAATTGATCACATTTTGAAAGTAAACAGTAAGTAAATTAGCTTTCGCTGCTGGTCTTCAGTTTCGGACAGAAACGTTTGAAAAGCGGAATCAATGTTTCATACCTTGAGCTGCAGACACAAATCACACAAACACCAGCTGCCTCCTGATAAACACATCATTTTGACCAGATTCTTTTGCATAAAGTTCAGCTCTGTTTAACTTTTCAATGTGCTGCATCACTCTTGTTTTATGGACTAAACGGTCTTGATGACCCGAAGTTGATTTGAAGTGTGATTCGAGGTATCCGTTTGATCGAGGTGGGTAATCCTGTAAATAATCCGTTAAATAGAAGAATAATATCCGTGTAAACGCCTGTATCTGATTACATTCCCTATCGGAAAGTTTAAGTCAGTTCTGATCATGTTCGTCGCATCATAGTGAGAGTTTATACCGTTCAACATGGCGGAGCAGAAACTGGTCTGCAGAGGAGACGAAGTTTATGCTCTGATCTTTAAAAGACGGCGGTGGGACGGACGTCCAGCTTATGTGTCTCAGAACACGACGTCTTCCTCTCGGCCTTCTTTAATAAGGACATGTGAAGGACGTTTTCCTGAGTCCGACATCATTTTAAAGCAATTAAAAACACAAGCGCTGCTCACTGCTGCTCATCTCACTCTGAGTGGACTCACATGATGCTGGTTGTCATGGTAACGTCTACACTAAGTGGCTGTCTATGCATGAGCATAATTTTGGATCTGATTACTTGTAGTGTGAATGTAAACGGAGATTTTCATCAGATTGTTGAGTAGAGTGAGAATAAACAACTCAGTCTTAATCTATAATCGGACTGTATTCAATCAGATTGGCAATAATCTTTGCATGTAAACACAGCCAGTGAAACAAACAACATTCACACCTCTCCACAAACTCTGCTGAAAAAGGGTCATTAAAAACCACTAGGATTAAAACCTAACAGTTCTGCTTTCTAATTGGCTTAATTGTTTCCAATAGAGACCACTAGTTTCCTGTAGAACCCCCTTCAGATACCATTAGGAAACCCATCAAATGCATTTAGAATCAGCCACTGTTCAACTGTTAAACCAATAGGATCCTTTACATTGTAATATCAACCTATTAAAGAAGCCAAAACACATTACAAAACAATCAGGAACCAATAGACACACGTAATGGTTTCTATGGGTTTTCTTCAGCAGGGAAGATGACCATGCTGAGATAGGATGGTTCTTCAAGGGTTCTTTAGTAAAGGAAATGGTTCTATATAGAACCATGAACACTCAATAAACCCTTTGCATGATTTAAATGGTTCTTTGCATGGTGAAATGGTTCTTCAGGTTGACGGAGAATGTGTTGTATATGGTTCTATACAGAACCTTTTTAAAAAGAGTTCTATAGAGCACCAAAAAGGGTTCTTCTATTGTTACGACATCAAGCTTGCTACAATACAAAAACCCTTTTTGGTGTTTTATAGAAGATTCTCCGTCAAACTGTAGAACAATTTCACCATGCAAAGAACCGTTTAAGCATGCAAAGGGTTCTTTGAGTGTTCATGGTTCTATGTAGAACCGCTTTCTCTACAGAAGAACCCTTGAAGAGTCAGCTTTTTTAAGAGTGTGGTTCAGCTGAGGGAACGCAAACACTGGCTTGAGGGCAAAAGGGTTAATGAAGATGAAAATGTGTGTGAAATGACAATATGAAGCACAGACTAGTTTCCATTTTGATGTTTGTTTTCCTTTTATGATGT